TGTGGCTTGCGGGTTCCTTAGTTGTGGCTCGCCAGCTCCTCAGTTGCAGCAGGTGGGCTCCTTAGTTGTGGCAAGTGGGGGTCCTTACTGGCGGCTTGCCAGCTCCTTAGTTGTGGCACATGAGTTCCTTAGTTGTGGCATGCAAGCTCTTAGTTGCAGCATGCATGTGGGACCTTGTTCCCTGACCAGGGATCAAACCCAGGCCCCCTGCATTGGGAGTGCAGAGCCTTATCCACTGAGCCACCAGAGAAGTCCCCATTTTGTATTTTTAATGTCATATTTAACATCTCCAGGTTTATCTCTTAACTGTTTATTGTAGTTATATTTGCTTTTACAATTTTTTGTTTTTTAATCTTCATTTTGGCTTAGTTAAGTAGTTGATCCTCAGTCCTTACTATATATTTGCTTTTCCTAGTGGGATTTTCCCTTTCCTATAGATTCTTACTTCTTTTTCACTTAGAGAAGACCTTCTAACATTTCTCGTATGGTAGATTTAGTATTGATGAACTCTTACTTTTTGCTTTTCTGAGAAGTTCTTTATCTCTCCTTCGATTCTAAATGATAATCTTGCTGGGTAGAGTATACTAGGTTGCAAGTTTTTCCCTTTCAGCACTTTGAATATGTTATGCCACTCCCTTTAGATCTGCAAAGCTTCTGCAGAAAAATTGGCTGCTAGCCTTATGTGGATTCCCTTATACATGACCCTTGTTTTTCTCTTGCTCCCTTCAGAATCCTGTCTGTATTCTTTTATGGTTGGTTTGTTTTGGCCATTACCCGAGGCATGTGGGATCTTAAGTTCCCTGATCAGCGATTGAACCCATGCCCCCTGCAGTGGAAGCACAGGGTCTTAACCACTGTATTGCCAGGGAAGTCCCTCTGTCTTTAAGTTTTATCATTTTAATTTTATGCCTTTATGTGGGTCTGTTTGGGTTCATCTTGAGACCCTCTGTGTTTCCTTTACTTGGATATGTTTCTTCAAGTTTGGGAAAATTTCAGCCATAATTTCCTCAAATATATTTTCTTTCTTTTTTAAAATATTTATTTATTTTTTAAAAAAAGTTTATTTTATTTATTTATTTTCAGCTGTGTTGGGTCTTTGTTGCCACATGTGGGCTTTCTCTAGTTGCGGCGAGCAGGGGCTACTCTTCATTGTGGTGCACAGGCTTCTCATTGCGGTGGCTTCTCTTGCTGCAGAGCACAGGCTCTAGGCATGCGGGCTTCAGTACTGTGGCATGTGGGCTCAGTAGTTGTGGCTCATGGGCTCTAGAGCACAGGCTCAGTAGTTGTGGTACATGGGCCTAGCTGCTCTGTGGCATGTGGGATCTTCCTGGACAAGGGCTCGAACCCATGTCCCCTGCATTGGCAGGTGGATTCTTAACAACTGTGCCACCAGGGAAGCCCCTCAAATACATGTTCAATCCCCATCTCTCTCCCTTCTTCTGGGACCTGTATAATTCAAATGTTGGTATGCTTAATGTTATTCCCAAAATCACATAAATGGGGACTTCCCTGGTGGCGCGGTGGTTAAGAATCTGCCTGCCAATGCAGGGGACATGGGTTCAAGCCCTGGTCCAGGAAGATCCCACATGCCACAGAGCAACTAAGCCTGTGCACCACAACTACTGAGCCTGTACACTAGAGCCTGCATGCCACAACTACTGAGCCCGTGTGCCACAACTACTGAAGCCTGCATGCCACAACTACTGAAGCCTGTGTGCCTAGAGCCTGTGCTCCACAAGAGAAGCCACTGCGATGAGAAGCCTGCACACCATAGTGAAGAGTAGCCCCCTCTTGCTGCAACTAGAGAAGGCCTGTGCACAGCAACAAAGACACAATGCAGCCATAAATAAATAAATATTTTTTTAAAAGATCACATAAAGGTTATCATTTAAAATTTTTTCTTTTTCTTTTGCTGTGTGTGTGTTTTTTTAAGCCTACAGCACCCAGTATTTCCAGGCAGTCTCTCACCCAAGTACTAACCAGGCCTGACCCTGCTTAGCTTCTGAGATCAGGCACATTCAGGGTGGTATGGCTGTAGACACTTTTGCTGTTCTGATTGGGTGATTTTCATTAGTCTATCTTCCAGATCCCTTATGCATTCTTCTTTGTCATTTAGTCGCTATTTCTTCCTTCTAGTTTGTTTATTTCAGCTACTTAATTCTTCAATTCTGTTTTTTTTTTTTTTAATATTTTCAGTTCCTTGTTAAAATTCTCACTGTGTTCATCTATTCTTTTCCCTAATTCAGTTAACATTCTTATTTCCAGTGCTTTGAATTCTTTATCTGGTTAATTATTTCTGTTTCATTATTTTTTCAGGAGCTTTCTTTTGCTCTTTCAGTTGAGACCAATCCTTCTGACTTTTTCTTTTTCTTTTTCTTTTTTTGGCTGCGCCACATGGCATGTGGGATCTTAGTTCCCTGACCAGGGATCTAACCCATGACCCCTGCAGTGGAAGCATGGAGTCTTAACCACTGGACTGCCAGGGAAGTCCCTCTGACTTTTCATTTTGCTTAACTTTCTCTGCCTCTGTAAACTTAGAGGAAAGTTACCTATTGCAGTCCTGAAGGGATGTTCTTATGTGGGAGTGTCCCTATACAGACTGCAGGGGCCCAGTACCTTTGGTAGGAGAGCTGGATTTGTTGTGGACACAATCACATCTTTCCTCAGGTGTGCTGGCAGCTATCACTTTGGTAGGAGGTGGGGCTGGAGATGGAGGGGCTAGAGCTGGAGCTAGGAGTGAGGTGGGACTTCTCTGCTCAGTAGCTGTCACTGCCCTATTGGGGGCAGGGTCTGATTCCAAGTTGTTGGAACAGAAGTCCTGAGGGTCAGGCCCAAGCTGGCTCTGTTTTCTTTAGGTGTGTGCTTTCCCCTCTCCCAGCACCAGGCCCCTTGCCCCAGGTTGGGGGCGCTGAAGCAAGAGGGGGGGGCCTGCATGGGTGCTCAGCCCTTGTCAGCTACAGACAGAGGTCTGAGCTGTCTCCAATGTGCTGCCCAGGCAGACACCAGCAGTTGCTTCCCTTGCTCTGTTCAGATGCAGCCCTGTGTGCTGGTAAAGTTCATCTTACTCTTTCCAATGCATTCAAACTTTCTTTTTACTGCTTCAACAGGGTGCTGGAATCCCTCCTCAGGAAACCTGGACTTCTAAAAGGCTCTCTCATCTGCGGGTGTCTGCTCAAATCAGCAGTCTCCAGGTTTACCTTAATTGCAGCCAAGAGGGACTAGGGCTGGTTCACAGACTCCTGCTGGTTCAACAGCTCATACCAAGGACTGTCCACCTATTACTTGATACACAGGTGGTTGAGACTCCTCCCAGGTCCTTTGGTATACAGCGTTGGATCCCACAACACCCACAGCGGCAAGTTGTGGATGTATGCCAAGTTTTAGTTGTTAAAAGGGGATGTGTGTGCAAAATTGATGGGCATCTTATGCCACCATGAGGCTGATGTTATTCTTCAGTGTTCAGATTTTTATGAAGGATCTATTCTATTTTTTAAGTTTTAGAAGCATTAAGTTTCATGAGGTATTTTTCCTTCTTACAGTTTACAGTCTTTATTTTTCTTTAAGATGAATTATTCCTTGTTCAATAAGGAATAAATGTTAATCAAACTTTTCCTATATTCACTTACATAGATGTCTTTTTTCCATGATAATGTCTTTGATGTTGAATAAGGTATAGATCACAGTTAAAAGTTTTTCCACAAATAACAAAGACTGAGAAGATAACAATGATGATGGCTAAACTAACCAAGTATTTATTATGTGATGGGCACAACTGTAGAATCCCCATAACCAACCTCTGAAGTACATTAATTAGGCCCATATTACCATAAACAGATCATATATGCATACAAAAGGATCTGGAAGAATAAGTAAGTTGGTTATGTTGGGGCAGTAACTAAGGTTGGGATGTTAGTCAAAGGGAAGTACAATTTTACCTATAATGTATAAATCAGTAAAAGCAGAAGAGAGCCACATATTATCTCTAAAATGAACAACAAATAAATAAAGCAGACACATTCAAAAGGGGCCAACAAGGTAACTCTTTATAATGGAAAAAATTTCAGGATTTGACAAAATGGGGGGTTTGATAAAAACAGGTAAATACTTTTAAGCCAATGGAATAGTAACAATATATTCACAGACAAAGAATATTAAAGGCTGGTTATAGCATAATCACACTTTCTCTCAAAAGCAATGCCAGATGTAATCTTACAGGATTTGCTCCAAAAATTTGACAGTGATTGTCTATGGTAAGATTACACATAACTGTAGCTATTTTTTTTTACTGATATCTACATTTTTATGGAGGAAAATTGTTCTGCAAAAAGAATAGTATAAGTTTCTAAAAGGAAAATAAAACAATCTTCCAAAAGGTACATATCCATAAGATACTAAAGGATATGTAAAAGTAACAGTAACTTAACACAAACAGGGTGACACACAGATACATAGACAGATATGCAAATTTTAAAAACAAAGACTGACCTGATATCGAAGCTTTATATGTATAAAAATAAACTTACCATCAAACATGTAATAAAAATATATAAAAATAGATATGGTTATTAAATAAATGGTGTTAGTATGAGAAATGGGGGAGGGGAAAAAAGGGTAAATTAGACCCTCAATAATTTAAAATAATTTTAAAATGCATCAGTAATTCTGTATACTTCACAAAAAATTAAGAACATTAAAAATAAAGTAGCAGGGTTAGCCCCCAAATAAATTTCAATGCTTAAAATAAACGCAATATACAATAAAAAGGTTTTTCAACTTATAATATTCACAAGTATGAATTTTCTGAAAGTAATGAATTTAGGTAAAAATATTCAAATATTTTATTCAGAGTGTTTATTTTCTGTATGAATTTTCTCAGACTGACTAACTGGTAAAGTATAAGTATATGTTGTACCTTAATTACATTTGTAGGGACTCTCACTAGTATGAATTCTCTTTATTGTATGGTTCCTTAACTATGTATTTCCAATTTATAGAGTTTCTCATTCACAGAGCTCCTTACCAGCATGACTTTTCTTATGTTGCTGAATTTCTGAACCCCTCTCCAAAGCCTTCCCACAGCCCTTACATTCATAAAGTTTCTCACTAGTATGTATTCTCTGATGTTGAGTACGGCTCAAGCCAGTGCCAAAAGTCTTCCCACATTCCTTACATTCATAAGGTTTCTGACCAGTGTGTATCCTCTGGTGCCGATTAAGGGCTGAACCACTACTAAAGGACTTTCTACATTCTTTACATTCATAGGGTTTTTCACCTGTGTGAATTAGCTGGTGTTGAATAAGTTTTGAGCCACTACCAAAAGCCTTCCCACATTCCTTACATTCATAGGGTTTCTCACCAGTATGAATTCTCTGATGTTGAGTGAGGTCTGAACCACTACTAAAGGCCTTCCCACATTCCTTACACTCATAGGGTTTCTCACCAGTGTGCATTCTTTGATGCTGAATAAGTTTTGAACCACTTCTAAAGGCTTTCTCACATTCCTTACACTCATAGGGTTTCTCACCAGTGTGAATTCTCTGATGTTGAGTGAGATCCGAGCCACTATTGAAAGCCTTCCCACATTCCTTACATACATAAGGTTTCTCACCGGTATGAATTCTTTGATGCCGAGTAAGGGCTGATCCAAAACTAAAAGCCTTCCCACATTTGTTACATATATATGGTTTCTCACCAGTGTGAATTCTTTGATGCCGCGTAAGAGCTGAACCACTACTAAAGGCCATTCCACATGCTTTACATTCATAAGGTTTCTCACCAGTATGAATTCTTCGATGCTGAGTAAGGTTTGAACCACTGCCAAAGGCTTTCCCACAGTCCTTACATTCATAAGGTTTCTCACCTGTGTGAATTCTGTGATGCCGAGTAAGGGCTGATTCAAAACTAAAGGACTTCCCACATTCCTTACACTCATAAGGCTTTTCACCACTGTGAATTATCTGATGTCGAATAAGGCCTGATCCAAAACTAAAGGCTTTCCCGCATTCCTTACATTCATATGGTTTCTCACCAGTGTGAATTCGCTGATGGTGAGTAAGGTTTGAGCCACTACCAAAGGCCTTCCCACATTCATTACATTCATAAGGTTTTTCACCCGTATGAATTCTTTGATGGTAAGCAAGGTTTGCACCACTACCAAAGGCCTTGCCACATTCTTTACATTCATAAGGTTTCTCACCAGTATGAATTCGCTGATGTCGAATAAGGACTGATACAAAACTAAAATCCTTCCCACATTCCTTACATTCAAGGAGTTTCTCATCAGTATGAATTTTCTGATGCTGGATATTGAAAGTGGGTATGTCTTCAGGAGTAAATATCATTTGACTGAAATGTCCTTCCTGAGATTCCTGTTTTCTCTCAAACTGGCCTTTACATTCCCAATCACCTCTGAAACTTGAACACTCAATGCTGTTATTTATAAGTCTTTCCATTATCTCCCATCAGGATGATTCTATTCCATAAATATCCTTTTTCAGAAATAATTCTTGGTCTCAACCTTGATTCACAGTCTGAAAGAAAATATAAAAACATTCACTTTTTTTGTGTTCTGGGAGAAATGAAACTTTTATAATAGGAAAAGACTTAACTGAAACTCATTTTCATATAGAGTGGCTTATACAGTTCTCATATATGATTGGGCATTTTGACAAACAGATAAGGAAAGAGAATGAGAAGAAACACTAGAAGGTGAAGGAGTTATTTAGGAAAATAGATTAAGTCAATTGTTCCTAAATAGTGATTTAGATAAAAATACCCTAAAGACATGGGGAGCTCAATAAATATAAAGATGTCCAGGCCCCAACTCATTTTGTTAACTAGTGTCATATACATTTAAAAATGAGTATAATTATTATTTAACCCATTTCTTAGGGTTGTTTGGAGCTTTAAATAACTACACCAGGAAGGAAAAATCTAGGCTAGATGGTCATAAATTGCATATAATCTGATGGAGATAGAAGAGAAAGTTACTTCAGATGTAGCAGTATCTTGATGAAAGATTAATGAGGGGCTTCCCTGGTGGCACAGTGGTTGAGAGTCCACCTGCCGATGCAGGGGACACGGGTTTGTGCCCCAGTCTGGGAAGATCCCACATGCCACGGAGCGGCTAGGCCCATAAGCCATGGGCGCTGAGCCTGCGTGTCCGGAGCCTGTGCTCCTCAATGGGAGAGGCCACAAGAGAGGCCCGCGTACCACACACAAAAAAATTATATATATATAAATGAACTGAGTAAGTCTGGAATGAGCAATAGAGAGTGAAGATTCTGTTGTGGTTAGAATATAGTTTGTTTATGCCATTTGGTAAAATCCGAAGTCTTGAGGCTAACCTTGGGAGAACCTTGGGAGAACAAAAAAGGGGACTTAGCAAAGGCCAAAAGCAGAGTAATTGAGCATGTAGTTTTAAAATCAGAGAAAAGGGACAAGAAGATAGGAGGTAATGTGATACTTCTGGAAAATTACAAGGAGGATGCAGATAGATGAGTACTCTGAACCCTAGCTCTGATGATTATTGAAATAATTCTGAAATCACATTAATGTATTGATATTTACACAGTTGTATAAAGTAACGCCACAGTGTTTGGTAGCTATTATTTTGGAAGACTTATATGCCATAAAAGTGACCAGGAAAATAAAAGGATTCAGAGACATCAATTAAGACCCTGAACAAATAAATAACTCAAGCCACAAAAGGTGAAAATATTTCAGCTCCATTCTCTTCCTACAATACTCAAACAGCAAGCTTGTTTAGGATCGGCCTAAAAATGTCTTGAAACTGTTCTTTCCATTCCCACTGTCAGTAGATAATTCTAGTCAAAATTATCTTTTACTTGGATATGAAAGCAGTATTTTATCTAGCTGCTTGCATTTCCAGTTTTGCACCCTTAACAGCCAGAGTGATATTCAGTCTGGCACTGTTCTGCTCAGAATGCTTCAATGGTTTCCCACTGTCCCTCGGATAAGACCCACACTCCTTAACTTGGTCTTTAAAATTCCTCAGAGACCTGCCTACTGCCTGCCTCTTCAAGATGATACCTCTCTCCTATCAGCAATAAGCCATAGTTACACTGGCCTTACTTCGTTCTTCAAATGCACTAAACTGTAACATGCTCCACTCCAACAATTTAATCTGCTTGAAATATTCTTCCATACCTCCCTTCCCACTGCCCCCACTCTTCACCTGCAAGTTCCTGGTCATTGTTCAGATCTCTGCTAACTGGCATACACTAAGAAAGATCTTTTCTGAATACTCAGTCTTAATTTTGCACATCTCGCCATTATTTCTCAAAGCACTTTTTTTACTTTTCTTTTTTTCTTCCTTTCTTTGTGTTTAGTGTTTGGTAATGAATGATTACACATTTATCCCCTACAATTGAAAATTTTCTATATTTTTTAAAGCCTTTATTGAATTTGTTACAATATTGCTTCTGTTTTAGTTTTGGTTTTTTGGCCTCAAGGCACGTGGGATCTTAACTCCCCGACCAGGGATCAAACCGCAACCCCTGCATGGGAAGGTGAAGTCTTAACCACTGGACCGCCAGGAAGTCCCCAGCAAATTTCATATTTTTTTGAATGTTTGCTTAATGTCTGTCTGCTACCATAGAGCCAAGATTGAGAAAGGCAAGGGTAATGTCTCTTACTTTAGTCAGCTTGAACCCTGGCACACACAAAAAGATCAAAATACATTTACTGAATGGCTAATATAATAAATTAGTCTCAAAATTCATTATTCTTAAAAATAAACTTCTAAAATAAATATTTCTCTAGAAAAGGATATACTTTCTCTCAAACAGTGAAAGTGAATCACATATGGTTATTCCTGTCCTTTAAAAAAATCTCACTAAAAGGAATGAACTGGCTTTTTAACAAAAGGAACCCACAAAGTCAAAGAAAATTGAAGAGGAAATAGCAGCAACAAAACTTTTGAAGCTGGAAAGCATGAAGAGAAATGACGAACAACTTAACAAAGAAAGATGAAACCTAACCCAAAAGTAAGGAAAACCCAGAAGGGGATGATTTATGCTGCAAACCCCAGAAAGGCTTAAGAAATGGGAGCATTATGTACTTAAGAAGGTCTACTAACTGGCATACAAAAAGTTAAATCAGCTTCTCAGTGTCCACTCTATAATACTGATACTCTATAATACTGATACAAATATCATCATTTGAGGAAATCCTGTAACATAAAAGAGATTAAACAAAGCCCAAAGGAACTTAGAAGAGAAACCACATAGGAAAACAAAATTCCAGAAGCCACCACTAATATCTTCAGAGGGATATGAGAAGCCATTTCACATGATAGAAGCATAGGATCACATAAAAGGAATAAGAGGCAAAAAAGAATACTTAGAAAATGAAAATATAAAGTGGGAATAAAAACATATCATTAGAAGAGTTAAAGGATAAATGAAAAATCTCTTTAAAAAGTACAAAAATATGGAAGTAGAAAATAGGAAATGTATAACACAGGGAACTATATTCCTATATAACCTATAATGGGAAATAATCTGAACTATATACGTGTGTGTGTGTGTGTGTGTGTGTGTGTATGTAACTGAATCACTTTGCTGTACACCTGAAACTATCACAATATTGTAAATCAACTATACTTCAATTAAAAAAAGAATAGAAAATAGGAAAGACATTGGAAGGTCATGCAAGCCAGGTCAACATCTAATGGGAGGAGATCATTCTTGAAAGTGTGCTAAGCATCTGCCAAGTATCAGGCAGAATGTTAGAAGGAGTGAAGGAATCTGAAAATTGCCATTTTGAAATCACCAATCTAATAATTGATTCAGGCAAGGATTCTCAATGGATTCTAAAATCAGAAAGTGAATGGTCAATATAACGGATATTCACTTAGTCTCTTAGCATCAATCCACATATGATTTACTAATTAAAAAGGGAAACATGTACCTTTATACTGGAAAGGTTTGGTACTCAGTACCTTTAACCTTAAATGATGAAACTTGGTATCATCAACAGTGGAAAAACCTGACACTCTGCCTTCTGATGTAATGCAATAGAATACACCATACCACCTTTGTCAAAATAGGTAAGCTGAATCTAAGCCTCCTATTTCCATAAGAAAACCATCAGACAAATGGAGGTTGTGAGACATTCTATAAGGCAACTGTCTTGAATTCAGTGTCATATAAAACAAACAAAAATGAGAGGCTGTTCTAGATTAAAAGAGACCAATGAAGCCCAACAACCAAAATAATATATGAATCCTGATTGGATCTGAGATCAAGCAAACAACCAACCAAGTAAATAAACAAAAACATAACATCAGCTAAAAAAAGACATTTGGGGGAACCACTGGAGAGATTTGAACATGAAATGTTTGAGGTAGTACTAGTGAGTTTATATTAATTTTCATAGATTTGATATGTCATTGTTATTGTTTGGAAAATGTCCTTATACTTAGGAGATGCACGCTAAAAGTATTAAGGGTAAAATGTCAGGATGTCCCCAACTTATTTTCAAATGATTCACGGGAAAAAAATGGACACGCATGCACACGCACGCGTGTGTGTGTATTTAGAAAAATAAAGCAAATGTGGTAAGATGTTAACAATTGGTGATTTTAGCTGATGGCTATTTGGGGCAAAGAACTGAATATTATTTCTAATTTTCTGTATGTTGGAAAACTTTCAAAGAAAACAGAAACCAGAAACAGATTGTTTTTAAAAGTAGCATTTAAGAAGATTTTCCAGAACTGAAGGACACAAATCTCCACATTAAATGGGCTCGCTTGGTACCTAGTATAAAGAATAAAAATTATTCACACTAAGATATAATTTCATTAGGTTCCAGGACAGTAGGAACAAAGAAAATACCCTAAAAGAATCCAAACAGTAAAAACACAGTGCATAAATAAAAGACCAGGAATGAAAATAGCTTTGGAGTTCCCCAAAATATTCTAAGCCCGAAGTCCTAAGTTCAAATTTCTGAGAGAAAATAATAATTAGAATCCCATGCCCTGCCAAAGAACCAATGCACTGGTTGAAACAGCCCTTTCAGATATGCTAGAACTCACAACAAATTTAACACATTTATCTCTTCTTACATGCCATCTACATCGAAAACCCATTTTGATATCTGGAGTTTTCTTGGAGTAAACCAAGAAACAGGAAGGAAATAAATAAGAATTCATAGTCTTGCCATGATTTCCATGTGAAAGGTAGAGACTTGATTGGGAAAGAATGAGATCCTTAAATATGGAACTGGGACATCTGGTTGGGACTCAGATGAAACTGACAATCTTGAACCTCCAACTTGCTTTGGGCCTCTCTTACCAGTGGAAGAAGCTTGCAATCCAGTGTCCGGGAGACTAGCTTTCCTCTGACTGAAAACCCTATAATAACATCACCTGGAGCAGTACCTGAAAAGGCATGCTAATTCTCCTCATGACCCACCAGAACCATTCTGT